GGTCCAATAACTCTGTAAGAAATCTGGGATTGAGTTTATACTGTATTGATATTGTGAATAGGAATCTCCTCACCACAAATTGATAAAAAAAAAACAATATTTTTCTCTTCTGACAAATGTTATGGTTAAGGACCATCAAATGAATGTTAATCTAGAAAAATTATTCCTTGAAAAGTGTCCCCTATTTTTTAGTAGGGGACCAGTCTATTTAAGTTGTGCTAAGTAAATTCAGATTTTAATCTTTGATATTTACAACGATTACTTTAGTATGGCACAAAGCTGCAAATGAAATGAAGCTAAGAAGATTGCACTGTGCCACTCTTCCAAGTGGGGAGGTCTTGTTTTCCTAGAAAATCAGCATTAAGTATTCTAGCTCTTATCTAGGCTTGAAATTTTGATACTGATGAGAAATATACAAACTATTTGAGCTATGATACAGGTTACTATGACTTTTTTTATCAGTGTATTTTAAAATAATGATTTGTTTATATGTGTCAGTAATGGGGGTTAAATAATATCATATCATGTTACAGAGAAAATATAACACATATCTACACTAATAAGCAGAGTGAAAAGGGGATGAAAAACAAGAGTCTTATATGTAGTAATTTCCAATATACTGAACATTCTTCTATGTTTCTGGAGAAGCCATATTTAAGATTTCAGATTCAAGCAGGCCGGATTCAACTGCTATGTCACTAACAAGAACATATCTGCAAATGGGAAATGGTGAGTCCCGAGTTTTTCCCAAATTGAGGACTGGGAGATGGAGATAGTTTCTTTCTATATCTGGTGACGATATATTACCAAAGGAAAATGCTAACATGAGTTTTTAAACTGCCCTATGTCAGAGCTGGATGGAGGGTGGCAGATTTAGCCTCTATCCATGCTAAAAAAGCAACTCCTCAGTTTGCTACCTGGAAGCTGACTGACTGCCACCTTTGTCAGTGTATGAAGTGACATCACTAAGCGGCCGACATGTGACCCACATGACTTCATCTGGACCAAATGGAGATAATTGTCTTTTGTATCCATACATCAGTTTTTTAACCCCTTTCACTAAATACTGACCCACTGAAAATTTATGTGGACCTAGACCTATTTAACATGCTATGGCAATCACACATATATTTACGTAAGGTCTGACTGTCTTAATTTCATTTGTTCTAATTAATTACACCCCATTTTTATTGCATAGCATCTGCACTCAAAAATTGGTATAGGCATTTTTAGATAATGTAAACATTATAAAAGTTACTGCAAAAACATTATTGTGAATACTTATTTTATAATTAACAAAATGTAAATTAAAATTTCTTCAAATATTCTTCACTCAACAGAGTATATTTCTGTCTGAATTTCTGGGGCGAAAAATTATAATTATTTACATTCAGACTAATATCCTCATCTTTGATGACATATGATGGCTTCTTGATCAGGAACTTTAAAACTGTTTTTTTTTCTGGAAGCATCAAAGAATGTCCACCCATAATCAATAAAATTTGTTTCACACTTAGTACACATGTTTAAATACCTTTGACCCATAAAATCATTTTAACCACTTGATGCTAAAATCTATGACAAGGCTTTTGCATGCGAACTCACATTCATTTTGAACTTTAAATCACTAACAACAAAAATGCTAAACCCATCTATCAGCTGACTTCTACCTTCTTTTCCTGAAAATGGCCAATGATGGTTGGAGTACTTGCATTCCATATTCTAGACACTCACCTTTCATGAATGACACCTTCATTAATTAATGATGTCGTCAGAGATGTCTGTGTCCAAATTGGTGAAGGTGTTGTCCACAAAAGATGCACTCCTGCAAATTCATACATACATAGGCATGATTTTTGTTGAGGCAGGGGTGGCATTAATCTTGAACACAGCAAGGTGGGTCCTGCTTGACAGAGGATTTGTCATAATGATTTGAGACAAGGTTTTAAAGTCTGGATGCTCTTCTTGATGTCGAGCTTGGACATTCACAGTAATCCAAGTACACCAAGTGTTTTTATTGAGACACCATTTCTGGAAAGGTTGTCACTCAAGGCTTGAGACCCCATCCTAGCTTTATATATATATATATATATATATATATATATATATATACTAGGTGTAACAGCAAAATTGTTCAAATCATGTAACAGCATGGTATAATTGTCCATCCCATAAAATGTTTAATATCTAAAAACCACTAAACTAATTGAATTTCTTTTTTCAGTTTTTCAGATAAGATGTTTAACCATCTTGATACCATTTGTCGTAACAATCACTGAAAAACCCTTTGAGTTATTCAGCTAGAATGAAAAAAGGTTAAAATCGTTTTGTGTCAGCCCTACTGTCTTCTCAACTGAGCAATGGTGAGAGGAAGAAGATCATTCAAGCCTTCAGTAATGGTACCAATATACATACTCTGGCTTCTCCAAAATCCATTCAAGAACGATCAAGAGAAATGGTGAATAAGTTTAAAAAAGAGAAAACAGTAGAAAGGAAAATTGGAACAGGAAGTCACAACAAGAACTTTCAACTTAGAGCTAAAGAGATCAATTAGAAAAGATCCAACTCAATCCATAAGACGTTTGACATGTGAGAGAGGAGTTTCAGTTATGACAGTCCAAAGACCAGTGAAAAAAGACTTGAAAATGAAATCATATGTGAAACCTATGAGTCACCTTGTTACTCTAGGACAGAAAGTTAGAAGGTTAGAGAGGGTGAAGATCATCTTGAATAAGTTGGAAAACGATCCTGGAATAATATATATATATTTGAACTTATTTCAATACTTCATGACCTTCCAATCCTTATCCATGAATAATTAATGGTGAACATGTCATTTTCATTTATGATCGAATTCATCATGATTCTTCTGTTAAGCTTAGAGAGTAATTATACATTCTTATTACTCAAAGTAGAATCCAATAGTGTTATAAAAAGCTTGGAGAATTCCAGTAACATATCTTTAATCATTTTTAAGATACACTGATTCAAAGCTTAATCTAACAATTGGACAATTTTGGTGTTACATGATTTGGACAATTTTGGTATTACACCTATCATATATATATATATATATATATATATATATATATATATATATAATTACATGAATCATTCATACAAAAAACAAATATAGAAGTTAATGATTTAAATGGCGAGAATGCATCTTTGCAAACAATTTCAATAAAGTATTCTCGCCATTTAAATCATTAACTTCTATATTTGTTTTTTGTATGAATGAGTCATGTAATTATAAAATGAACTACACCTATAATCGAAATTAAATATATATATATATATATATATATATATATGTGTGTGTGTATGTGAAAAAATATAATTTTAAAATGTGCTATATTTATGGGATAAAGTGCTCAATATCAGAGATAAAGCATATGTAAATATAAAAGTGAACATTGAAGTCAACACTCAGAGGCGACAAGCTGTTTTGTGCTAGACTCAATCGTTAGGCCACCTGACAATTGTGTCTAGCATGAAACGGCTTGTCACCTCTGAGTGTTGACTTCAATGTTCACTTATATATTTTTATATATATATATATATAATGATTAATACACTTGCACGTGATTGAGTGGTGAAAATGTTCACTTTCTGACCCATGAGACCTGGGTTTGAATCTCACCATGGTCAATTTGTCCAGAAAGTGTCTTCTTGATGTTATCGATCAGGAGATGGCAATTTCAGTGTGCAGCACATTTGGAAATGAAAACCATACTACAGTTTGACCAAAGCATTGTGAGTTAAAGTAGGTAGATGGAACCCTTTGGGAGTTGTTGATAGTTTTGCTAGCACAAATTCAGAAGTCATCATGACCGAGGGTTTGAGTGTGCTGACCTTGTTCAGACTGTTGATCATGCTAGATAACACACTCTCTCCCAGAAACTGTTACTAAGGCCCACTCAGCATAGTTGTAGTATAAACCACAAGTGGACTCTGTGGGGGTTGAACAAACACAAATGTGCCTGAGCAGGCATCTGCAACAGGGATTGGCTAGCTACCCTAGAAGATGAGCATATGTATGACCAGCCATAATTTCACACATAAGATTTGTCACTTAGCTGACTGATGTTATATTTAGCACCTCAACTCCAGAGCTTCATTTTTTTTTTTATGCATTTCACCCCAAGCAAGGCGGGAATGCCACTAGCACACAAGGGGTTACAGAGAGTGGGAGCAAGAATAAAGTGGCATGATACAGGAAAGGATGGAGAGAAGGACAAGGAATTAGATATCTGAATATGTCAACTGACATTGCATTTGAATAGTTGAAGATTATAGCTATCAGGGCAGCAAGTAAGAAGATGGGAATTCCACACACAGGAAGTGCGAGACATGAAGCTATTGGAGTAGAAGAGATGGCTACATTTAACAGTTTCAACTGTGAAAGGTGAGACTGAGATGCCAACCTAGTAGCATGCTTAAATTCATGTAGTTTGGGAACCAGCAAAAGTAACTTGTTGGGGCAGTTACCATGAAAGTATTTCTAGAAAAGATATAAACCTTTTTGTAATCATTCAGTCCACTTGTCATATATATATATATATATATATATATATATATATACTTCTTTACAATTGTAATTAAGATACCTTTAGTTAATGACCATGTTCACCTACGAATTTTAATTTTAAAATTCACAGGATTTTTCGAACTCAGTTTGTAGTTGGATACTGGTAAGTCCTTAATTCCAGTTGTTAAAAAAATTGCTCTGTTTAATGAAAATAAACATTAAACGCTCTTATATATATGTTTCCATTGGTTTTTGTAAGAAGCTCATCCACCCTTTATGAGATGGAAATTCAAGACTTGTCAGAAGTCACAATGTTCTTACTATCTACTACTTACTTTAACAGTAGGAGTGTATTAGACCTAGAAAGTTGTAATATAAAGCAACTATAAGAAAAACCAGGCAATGATTAAGAATGGAAACACTTTATCTCAGAATTGCAGTAAGTTTTTTATTTTATTTTTCATTTTAGGCCCACCCATTCTACAAGCCTCAAGTCCAAATGTGGAAGCAATTTCTGGAACAAGTAAGAAACTGGAAGTGTACCTATTTCCAGTCTATGAAAATATTGTCATAACGTGGATGCACAATGGCCAAAAGATTTCTAAGGGTACACCTGGAAAAGCCCTTTCTTCATGGCAACAGAAAATAAAGGGGCAAGAAGTTTATATTTCTGGACTTACAGTTAGCCTTGCATTAAACGATCTTCAAGAAAGCGATAGCGGCAATTACTCAGTCTCTGCTTTCACAAAACATGGCAAAAGCTTTTACACCTTTGAATTGAAAATCTGTAAGTGTTTTGTTCCAAAGTAATCACTCTGTTATGGCTGGCTTCCCTCCAGTCAAAATCTGATGAATTTATATTATTAATATGTGGGTTTGTTATTAAAAATCAGCAAAAAGAGTACATCGTAGTAAGATTTTTGTTAGCACAGTTTTTTTTTTTAATTTTTATATTTTAACTCACCCAAGGCTCAAGAGTAATTCAAAGTAGAGGGATATTGTTTAATTGGTAAGAATGAATGCAGTGTATGATATGAATGAAAGAGGAGATGGCAAGAAGTGAACATTATAATAGATGACAATTTACCCTTGACATGAAGAGGTTAAGTCTATAGCATTCAGAGAAGTACTTATATTATAGTCTGTTCTACAAAATGGCAGTTCTTGGGGGAAAGCTATCTAAGTGAAATTTTCTCACTATATTTGGACTATGAAGGAAATGAAGGTGATTTGACTCTGTGGAATTAACAGGTCATGTTCTAGTAGTAACGGTCTGAACTAGTGGAACTAAAGAATAAAGCACTCATCTGAATATTTGCTATGGAAACAGTGATAGAATAACAACAAGTTTGCAGTGTTGTATTTGTGGGAAAGAGGCATAACCAACAAAACTGCATAAACAATTTTGAACTCCATCAAGAGCAACACTGAAATCTGAAGGCATATTGGGATAGGCAAGGAAGCATTCCAAAAGCTAAGCAGGGTACTAAGAAATAGGAAAATTTCGCTAGAAACAAGGAAAAGAGTACTAAACTGCTATGTGATATCTCTCCACCTGTATGGCAGTGAATGCTGGATGATCTCAAAGATGAAGAGGAGACTTCAAGCAACAAAAATGTGGTTCTACAGAAGGATGTTGATAATACCGTGGACCAAACATATGAACATGCAAGCAATGATGAAATTTTGAAGAAGATGGAAACAAAAAGGAAATTAATACTTAATATCAGGAAGTGACAGTTGAGGTTTCTAGGGCATATAATAAGGAAGGAAGGCTTGGAAAATTTGATACACATGGGACAGATAAAAGGCATGAGGAACAGAAGAAGACAACGCATAACATAATGAGCTTGAGTAAATGGATGGCAAAATAAGGTTTAGGTGAAATAACAGAAAGACAAAGTTTATTAAGGGATACAAGGGACAGGAAGTTGTGGAGAGCCATGATCGTCTGTACAGTAAAGAAGCAAAAAACATAGCAACTGAAATTAGATAATAGAATTAAACAATTAATGAAAGTATAATCATGCATTAAATTAAATGATTTATTTTTATTTATAAATTTATGTTAATGTTATTTTTTTTTTGTTATTTTGTTTGACTTAAAATATCTGTTTTTTATCCATTTACATAGTGTTTGAATGCTTTTATCTTTAATCTTAATATTTTTTCTTTTTTGTTTTGTTGTGTAGCATCCAGGACAGACATGACTCTTGTCATAGTTGGTATTATTTGTGGGACACTGGCTGTGATTATATTCATCATTTTCATAAGTTGCTGTTTCTTTTGTTCCCAACAACAAAAACATCACAGCAGCATAATAGGTAAGTGTCATCTTGTTCTATGTCCTGTATCCTTCAAAGACATGAGTGATCATGGCTCTCCACAAGTTCCTGTCATTCGTAGTTCTTACTATAGTTTGACTTTTTGGTATTTCTCCTAATCCCTGTTCTGTCGACCATTTACATATAATAATAATAATAATAGATCAAAACCACTGAGAGATGGTATGAGCACCAACCAGACATGGTTACCTAAAATAATCATGTAACTATCCTCTGTGACAAACCAATTCAAACTGACAGGGAAATAAAAGCCAAAAGCTGATATTATTATAAAAAACAAAAAATTCAGGAATTCCTCGACAAAATCCAGAGATGAATATGCAAGATGGTAGGCCCTGATCTTGCATCTAGTCTACAATCACTACCCCACAGACATCCCTCTGTCTCTTATACAAGTATTTTCATGGCAACTATTCCAACAAGCTACTTTTGCTGGTTCCTGAACTGCATGAATTTAAGCGAGCTACCAGGCTGGCATCTCAGTCCCACTCTTTCACTGTCAAAACAGTTAAATGTAACTGTTTTTTCTAATCAAACAGCTTCTTCTCCCATACTTCCTGTCTAGGGAATGCTCTTCCCCTTACTTGCTTCCCTGATGACCATAATCGTCAAATATTCAAGTGTAATGTCAATCAACATTTGATTCCCTGAGCTTGTTCCCCATCTTTCTCTGTATCCTTTCCCCAAACATACCTCTTTACTCTTGTTCTCAATAACCCCTTGCATGCTAGTGGCACTCTCACCTTGCTTGGGGTGAATCGCTGTAAAAAAAAAAAAATGTATGCTTATTGACAAAGAAGTACCATCTGAGAGAAACACCTCCATGAAAATTATGGAGAAATTGTTCAAATACAAGGGGTTGGAGATTGAGATTAACAAGATATTGGGAATGAAGACTGAGTCTGTACTAATAGTAATTGGAGCTCTGGGCCTTGTGAGAAAAAGAATGAACAATTTTACTAACAGTGTCCCAGGTAACATCAACATATACATTGCCCAGAAGATTGCTCTATTAGGAACATCCCATATACTAAGAAAAGTGCTATGAATTAAATAACAATTCTCCTGTAAGGCCTAAGGACTATAATTTGGACCTGGCTCTACAGGATACAAAGCTGGAAACATAACATAATAATAATGATAATAATAATAATAGTAGTAGTAGTAGTATTAGTAGTGACGGTTGTGTTGGTGGTGGTTGTGTTGGTGGTGGTGGTGAGATTATAAGAAAACATAGATTGGCACATTTATCCAGTATCAGGATAGTATCTGTGCATCCTACTTAGCATGAAAATACAGTATCTGTGCATTCTGTTAAATGTGTTATATACACATTGCATTTCATATATGTAGATAACCAAATATTTTAAAACAAATATTTTTTAATTAAAAAACTAATTTTTCAGCATTTTAAATATATTTTCTAAATAAATATTTTCATTTTCTTTATTTTTTGCAATTGTAATTATAAAATCATTTTTACAAACTGGTATTGATTTAACCTGCATAATAATAATGATAATAATAATAATAATAGTAAGCCTCTTTTATTTTTATGAAAAAGGTGGGAATGTTACAGAATGTTATTTCTCTCAAAAGGCTTTGATTAAAATTAGTAGAAACTTCCATTTATTATCCATGAAGTAGACTGAATTATGTTAATATTTTGAAAGTAATATGTTGAGTGAAATCTCTTCTAATCTTCTGATAACATTTTATATAGGACACATGCAAGCTTCCTGCATATGTCCTTTATATTGTAATATTTCATGGTAATTATTCTGATGAACTTTCCTCTATGGTACCTGGACTTTATGAATTTAAGCACAGTACTAAATTGACATCAAAGTCTCATCATTTTACAGTTGGAATGGTGAGATGTAACCCTAAGTTATATACTAATTTCTGTTGTACTTCACACTTGTGGAACGCTCTTCCAGCTTCCTGCTTCCTAGTCAACTTTGATCTTTAAAAATTTAACTGCAATGTCAATCATTATCTTTTGTCTTCTTCTTGTTGCTCTTTTATTGTTCTCTCTCCTTAATAGTAGTTTTTCTCATATTCTCTAATATTCTGTAACCTTTTGTGTCCTATTGACTGTATTGCCTTGCTTGTAGTGAAATGATTCAAAACAAAATTGCAAAAATGCAAACCACGTAAAATACAATGTTTATTACTGACCAATTTGTGAAGAAATAAATATGGAAAAAATTTTTATTAATAAATTTATAAAAATTTATGAAGTCATAAAAACATGTGAACCAATTATAATGAAATCTTTATTTACCATTTTATAAAGTTTGAATCAATTGGCAATTAACCAATGATTTGTGTGTCATTCCAAAAAACAAAGATTTTGTAGGTTCCTATAAATATTTGAATGAAAAGTTTTCTTTTCAAAGTTATTTTTTATAAAATGGTAAATAATAAATCTTTATAAAATGGTAAATAATAAATCATTGCAAAATGATAAATAATAAATCATTATAAAATGATAAATAATAAATGTTTATAAAATGATAAATAATAAATCTTTATAAAATGATAAATAATAAATCATTATAAAATGATAAATAAGAAATCTTTATAAAATGATAAATAAGAAATCTTTATAAAATGATAAATAATAAATATTGCATTGTACTTGGTTCACATATTTTTTATGATCTTGTAATTAAACATTACGAAGGAAGTTTTAATAGTTTAAAGTAATAACAGTGTCAACAGAAAATCTATCCTTTTTACAAACTATTGTTTGTGGGCACAAAGATCCAAAACTGCCAAAAATTTAATAAACATTGTACTTAATCATTATTTTTGGTAACGTATGCAGTTGTATGTGAGAATGTGTGAATGAACAAGTGAGAACAAAATGAAACATGGAAAATTTTAATTATTAAGTAATTGATTGGCAACTAAGTCTCACCATTTTACTGTTGAACTAGCAAGATGCAACCATAAATTCTATTCTAATAGTTTTTTCTCTTGCATTTCTTGCCTGTGGAACTACATTCTAGTTTCTTGCTTCCCTGCCACCTACCATCTTCAAAAAAGTGTAAATGCAATGCGAAATGGCATCTGTCTTTCTGAAACCTGTTCTTTTATTGTTCTTTCTTCTCATCAAAGTTTTCTCATCATCTTTCACATCCAGTAACCCTTTGCATCTTAGTGGCATTAATGCTTTACTTGGGGTGAAATGATTAAAAATAATATTTTCTTCATAAAATTAAGCATGCCATTTAGAATGCCAACCAGGTTGCATGTGGTCCACAGGCCACAATTTTCCCATATCTGATCTAGACGCATGTCTGTGTTCAATTTCAATTTCTAGAAGTCATTGTTGATGCTATCTCTCCAAGCTTCTTTTGGTCATTCTTTATTTGTACATATCCAAACCTTTGTAATCTTTGGCTGGGTCAGCCATAAATCCAGAGGTAGTATGCACAGATGTTCATGCAATGACACCCATGCTAACTCTCTTTCTCATAGCAGGCTGTATATCTCCACCTGATCACAGAATAATCATTTCACACCAGACATTTTATCTTTAATCACTTTACCCAAAGCAAGGCAATAATGCTATTAAGATGCAAGAGGTTCCTGGGAACAAAAAAGAATGAGAAGACTTTAGAAGGAACAGGAAACTCAGTCCTAAACAGGAAACAAGGAATAAACCTCAACTCCTGTTCAAAAGACAGGGAAGGAGTGTGAACCTGGTAATAGAAGCATAGTATTCAACAGTCTAGACCAAGATACTATGAACACAAGAGTTGATTAGTGCAATTAAAAATAGATAAATATGAATTACAAGTTTTAATATAGTTAAACATAACACAGACTTTATAAGTCTACCATTGATCTATACTTTTAATATTATTGTCATATCTTGTTTGGTACTTCTGTTATATATCTTGAAGTACTTGAGAAAATCCAAAATAGAATCTGCAATATTATCAGTCCTGACTTTCTTCAATCAGTTCTATATACTTATGTATTTGATGTAGTCAATAGTAATATTCCACTACTAATTAGCAAACCCACAATGATAAATCTTGGGATGTTGTTAGTCACAAAAAAATACAAATTAAATTTCAACTCATCTAGATGTTATGTGATTCCAGTAATGTGTATGGACAGATGAAAACTGTAATGTTCTACAGCTAGAAAACTTGACATTGTTGAGTAAGGAAGAAAATTGATTGTAATCTGCTTCGTTGTGCTTGGAATAAAGTTCCCTAATCTGTTTTGTTCACCAGTGTAGCACAAGTCAAACAATCCAACCCACGTGTCTCCTTTTCTCTACCAAAATTGCACTGCTATGTCACCTTGAAAAGCACGTTTTGTAGCTTAAGTGACAGATCAAGAGACAGACCCGACTTTGAGATCTATTGTTTCTTAAATATACGACTCATAAAGCCACCATTTTCTTTTTGGGATACTTAACATGCAAGACACGTTCGAACATGCTTGGTCTATCCCCTCGTCCTTATTTCATAATATTGATATAATTTTATATATTTTTGTATACACAATTGTACATATTGAAATTTTCATGTCATGGGGAGTAATGTAGGTTCCCTGTGAACTTGTGGTATATTTTGGATTGAATGACAAGAGATGAGTTTTTGTGGTGAATGAGTAAATTGTAATGACTGAATGGGCCGTGAATCTGATTAGCTAGGTATAGGATAGTTAGTGTCACCCAGCCTTAACCCATCTCCCCCTTTTAGGCCTTGTGCCACAATTACTGTATTCAGTCAATAAATGCCAGATACATTCAAACCCACTTTCTACAAAGAGGTAAGCCATTTTCCCTCATGTTACAGCAATGTAACTCCACCATCAGTTTGCTCATGCTTCAAAAGAGAGACTGATTCCATTCTTAAAAAAATGGTGGATGTAAAGATGAAGAATTTTTGCCTGACATAGAGAAATGCTGTTAGTTTCGTATTAGGTACAGGCATTCTAAACAAAAACTGACAGTTATCACAGCCTTTCTCTACTTTATATTTACAACCATAACGTAGATTCACTGTGCCTTTTCTGTAAAGATTTTCATGGCAATTGTTCTGCTAATTTTCCTTCTTTGGTACTTTTACTTGCTAGATATAAATGCAATTTTTATTCATATAGTTTCTTTTCTTTCACTTCTCTCTTGTCAAACTCTCTTCCAGCTTCTCGCTTTCCTGTCAACTATGATCTGCAAAAATTTAAATGCAATGTCAATTGCCATCTTTTTTAATCTTGTTCTTTTTATTGTCCTTTCTCCTCAATAAAGTTTTTATCAGTTTCTTTCCTTCTCAGTAACCCCTTGTATCTTAGTGGCTTTATTACCTTGCTTGGGTTGAAATGATTAAAAAAAAGTAATTAAATAGATGAAAAAAATGTTTGATTTTATTTTTTTTAACAGGGGCAAATGTTGGCTTGTTACTTTTAATGCCTCCAAAACTAAACCTCTCCCCATTAGTCACCTGAGAGACCCCCACTCTGCTTTCCATCAACATGGCTGATGCTAACCTCCAGGAGAGTGACTCATTGCACTTTCTTGGGCTAACATTTTCCACTGACACAAAGTAGAAAGATTATATTGAATCCATTGCAAGTTCAGCTGCTAAGAAAGTCAGTTCACCATGTCATGCAAGATAATTTTTCTCTCCAGAATTTATCTTACATACCTATAAGTCTACCATTCATCCATGCTTAGAATATTGCTGCCACATATGATCCAGTGCCACTGGAATTTAGCTTGAGATCTTTGATAAAATCCAAAGAAGAATCAGCAATATTATTGCTTCTGATCTGGCAGCTTGGCTTCAGTCATTTTCCCACCACCATAAAGTTGCCTCCCTGTGCCTTTTCTATAAATATCTTCATGGTAAATGTTCAGATGAACTTTCCTCTATTGTACCTAGACTTTATGAATTTAAGTACAGTACTCAACTGGTGTCAAGATCTCATCAATTTATGCTTGAGCTGGCTAAATGTAGCCATAACTTCTATGCTAACAGTTTCTTTTCTTGTATTTCTTGCTTGTGGAACTCTCTTCCAGCTCCATGCTTTCCAGTCAACTTTATCTGCAAAAATTTAAATGCAATGTCAATCGCTATTACTGTCCTCCTGATTACTCTTTTCTCTTTCCGCTTATTATTAATGTTTCTGTTCCACACCCTGTAACTCCTTTTTTCTTTGTGGCTTTAATGCCTTGCATGGGGAGATACGGATTTTTAAAAAAATTGTAATGTTTATTATGATTTGTTATGCTTGACTTAGTTTTAATACAAGGTCACAAAAATGGAGCACCAGTCAAGACTTAACTCACTACGAACTGGATATACTATTATTTCAAAATTCAGATAGCATTCTATTTTTATCATATGTTTAGTTATCTTATATAATAAAATATTTTCATGAACTAACACTCCTTAAACATCTGAGCTGATGCCAAACAGCAAATATTAATTGATTATATTACAAGGACAGAAGCCTAAAACTAGAACAGGATGTGTGGTAAACTGACTACTTATAATCTGTAAGTCTAGTTATGGTGAAGTGCCTGAGTAATGTTCTTTTTTTTAAATGCGATGACCCTTCAGAATGTAAGCAGTTATGATTCTTCACAGATTCTTTTCCTTTATTATCTGTGAATTGCCATTCCTTCTCTGGAAAGATAGTAGAGTGGTGGTGTCCTGTTAACTTCTCCATGGCTTTCAATGCCATGTCCTTCCAGGATTTAGGTAATTATGGCTCTTCACAGTTATCTATCCTTTATTAACTGTGAACTGCCATTTCTTCCCTGAAAAGATAGTGGAGTAGTGTCCTGATACCACCTGCAAGGCTTTAAATGCCATGAACCTACAGGATGTAGGTGATCATGGCTCTCCACAGATTCCTTTATTATCTGTGAAAAGCCATTACATCTTGGAAAAGATAGCAAAGTGGTTTCTTGTTACCTTCTCCATGGTTTTGGATTTCATTGTTTTCCTTCTTTTAGACTGGATTCCAACCCAGGCTAGAGAGTACAATCTACTTTTCCTATAGCTAGGGAGAGAAGAAATGATTCATGCCTTTCTCAAGGTCATTCGTGTGAAAGTGAATGCAACACCTAGAATTTGAACCCAAATTGCTGATTATTAATATTAATTAAGAAGACCTTTATAGCTGGGATGTGTCATGCTACATCCACAGTCAAGCCACCTTCACTTCCCCCATATTCCATATATAAGGAAGAAGTTCTATTCAGCTTTTTCCCAAGAATTGCTACTTTATGGAACAAACTCCCAATATGGGTATTTCCATGAACACTACAATCTTAACTCCTTCAAGTCAAGGGTCACTGTCCTTCTTAGCCTCATAGTCTTAACTTCCTACCAACTCCTCATGGCTCCCCCAGGTCTAACCTTTACAGCTAGGACTCACTATACCTCTTACATTGCAGTAAAACACCCACATTCTCTTCATATTCCATCAATAAGAAGAAAGTTCCATTCAAACAGCTTCTTCCTTCTGTGAAACGAACTCCCAAGAGGATGTTTCCCCAAACATTACAATCTTAACCTGTTCAAATATTATCATCTCCTCCTATCCATATAAACTACCCCTTAACATAACCCTCTACTTGGAGTTGCCTCTGAGCCTTGTACAGGGTGAACCATACTGTAAAAAAAATAAAATTCATATCACACATGTCATTCAGTAACCCTCTGTCTTGAGTGGCTCTTGATCCTTGGTTGGGTGAATGTTAATCTTTTAAAAAATCTCATTTGTTATAGAAACAATATTCTTTCAAAAGCAGACATTTATTTTCTTTATATAAAATGAATGTTGTTTTATTAAACAAAACTTATTGACACTGGATAAATATCTACATTTGAAAATTTAAAATAAACATAATGAGAAAGATATATTATTAATTATATTATTATCTGATATAATAGGCACATGGCTGAGTGGTACAAACATTAGAATTCTGACCATAGGATACAGGTTCAAATCTCGCTGTGATAATATCAGCCTGAGGTGATGATATCAGCCTGAGGTGATGATATAACCATGTCTCTTTCCATACATATCTCCAAGGTGCTTTTGGTCTAATCTCACTTTCTGTCAACATCCAACCGCTTAGTTCAGACCCTGCTTGTTCCAATATCTCAATTCTCACACTGCTATTGGATAAGGAGAGTTCTACATCTTCCAAACTGGTTTAGGGATTGGTGTCAGTATAAAGTCATTGATCGTCTAATCTTGGTTCTTCAAGTGTTGTGAGTCTTCCTGATGAAGAAAGTTATCTTTATTCTTTTAGTCAATAAGCCATGGTAAACTTTTTGTTGATGACTGAGCTGACTGGAAATAAGGTCAAACTCTCACTGAAGAAATAATAATGCTGCTTTTGATTAAATATAGATTTGGCATCTATTAACACAAAAAGATTAGAAGGCAGTGACTTGGAATCCTAAACTGTGTGTTCAGCAAGGTTCAATCAGAAATCCAAGAGAATATTGGGCCCCTTCCTCATGCAGATATGAAACTGCATGTGTGTCTGATGACTTGTCTGTCTCCATCATCCCAGACCATCTTTCTTGTATCCTCAAAATCAAAATGAATTTATACCTAATTCACCACTCATATACCAAACTGTTCACATGCCAAAATAACTCAATTTTCCATTGTTTAAAGTCGGGGTTAAAAGACTAAATCCTATGTTTTGATTTTACCCCATTTCATTCAGAGACATAACTCCAAAAACCCAAAACATATTTGGTTGTCATATCTATCAGAAACAAAATCAAAAATATATGCTCTGACCTGTCCAATTCAAGGTCACACCTGGCTTCTTGACAAATATTCCTGCCTCATTAAGTCAGTTATTCACTGTTTCCTTCCACTTCTCTTGCCTTTACTATGTCCTATGAGTGTTAAATTCTTCAGGCCTACTTTCCTCATCTGTCCCAGAAAGTTCCAGCTACCTCTTTCTGATTGTAAATAAGTTTTTTTGTAGTTCCTATTTTCCTTAAAACTTTGTTGCTCTGATGCTCTCTCCATGGTTTGTTAACTGGACAATGTATGGCTTGTTAATTTTAACACCTCCAAAGCCAAACTGCTCTCTGTTAATCACCCATGAGACCCCTTTCTACCTTCCATCAACATGGCAGATGCTAACCTTCAAGAGAGTGACTCATTTCATCTTCTAGGGTTAATGTTCTTGGTTGATATAAAGAGAAAAGACTATATTGAATCCATTGCTAGGTCAGTTGCTAAGAAAGTTGGTTCACTGTGTTGTGCTAGACAATTTTTCCTTCAGAATCTATCTTGTATATATATATATATATATATATATATATATATATATATATATATATATATATATATATAAAACATTAGGCAGCATATTATTTACATACAAAGAATAATCACACATAGAATTAATCAGAAGTATCAATGCGATTATTGGCGACATCCATCGCTAGAAAACATAATATATGCATTAAAATCCTGTTCATCCATAGTGCGAGTTTTGATCCTTGAAGAAAAACTTGTTGTCTGTAGTTTTTCAGTTTATTTGATGCTAAAATGCTAGTACTTTACAGTTGAGTTAGCTAGATGTAACCTTAAGTTCTATGCTAACATTGTTTTTCTCACACTTCTCACTTGTGGAATTCTCTTCAGGCTCAATGCTTTCCAGTAAACTTTAATCTTCAAAAATTTAAATACAATTTCAATTGCTATCTATTGTCCCTCTTTTTGTTCTTGCTCATTAATAATGTTTTTGTTCCTAATTCTTCCACACCCTGTCACCCCCTTGAGTCTTAGTGACTTTACTTCCTTGCTTGGGGTAACTCAATTAACAAAAAAAAATTTACATTTCAAATTTTCTTTTGCAAACCATTCAACTTAGACATTAACAGTTTTCTATGAATTATGAAATGTTTTAGTAAATGTAATTAATAATTCTGATTTTATTTACTTTTCAGACACTCCCATGAGCACACCAAGGTAAGTTATTTTATTCCTCAAATAATATGTAGTGATAAATAAATTGGATCTTTTGCACACTCGACATTTTTGAGCTGAAATTCAGAAAAGATAAAAGCAGAATATTTTAATTGAACAAAGCAATCTCTCTCTCTCTCTCTTTATATATATATATATATATATATACAGGAATACCTCCATTAATGCACATTCAATTAATTCATTTTTGATTAGTATACTAAAATTTTTTATACCAAAAATCATTTAGTGCATACATAATACTCGATTAGTATGGTCAGACATTCTTCAGTTTAACCATAGTAAATGAAAATCGAGAATAATATATATATATATATATATATATATATATATACAAATACTTACATTTGAATTATTTTGATTTTTTTTTTTTAATTTTAAAAATCAAAAGTAATAATTCATGCCTGATGAATTGGTAGAACAACAAAACTTTAAGCTGCACTTCGAATGTAGGTATATATATATATATATATATATATATATATATATATATATGATGGACTCTCATTCGACATATGTGGGTCAAGCAGCACAGTTCCTAGGAACCAACAGCCAGACACCAGCCATATGATTTTATTATAGTGGTGATGTCTTTGTGCAGAACCAACCACACTTTTTGAAGAGCCAAATACAAAGACCTGGTGCACTACGTGCCACAATGTCCCCAAATGACCGTCTGCAGGTTTTGAATTCAGAGTTGTCCTTCTCCTGGACCAGCTGCTATCCAAGACTATAGAACCCAGTCTGTCCTGCTATTTACCCATAGCTTGTGGGAGAAGAAGAGGATTCATATCTTTCCCAAGGGTATTATTAGCACATAAGTGAATGTAATGGATTCAACTGGAATTTGAATTTGGCTCTCTGATTCCTCAATCCAAGCTGCTATCCACTACTCCCACGTGCCTCCTATATATATATGGGGGGAGGGGGAGAGAGGGGGGATTTAAATAAATTTGTAAGCTGAAGTTCATAAAATAAATAAAAGTTAAATACTTAAAATATTTTAATGACACAAATAATTTAAATGAAAACATTACAAATAAAAGTGATTTAAAAAATTGTAAACTGATCAAACATCTTTTTAAATTTTCTTTTGTATTTTTTATTACATATTTTGGTACATGTAATTTGTAGAATTTATTCTGTAGTTTTTTTCTTTTTCTCTTTTTAATTTTTAAGAAAATATTTTTTACATATTTTTTTAATTTTGAAATTTTGTGTGCATGTATTTTTAGCTGAGGAGAAATATCTGTTACTAAAGATTAATATGTTGATTATTATAGTATTGTTTAATATGTTGATTATTATAGTATTGTTTATTTATGTTATTTAATAACTATTAGTATTCATTAATGTCTAATAACATTAATATTAATTAGGACTAATTTATTGACAGAGGTTCTCTCGTTATCTTGACTGTCTTTTCAATGATTTACAAAATCATTTTTATAAAAGTCTTTAGATTTTAAAGCAAAGAATATACCAAGGGTTTCTATATTTCCATGGGTTTTAAGAATGAGTTCATTAAAATGATTTTATAAAATCTGGAAAAAGATGTTCATTGGATGGAAGAGAATCTGGGGAATAAGGAGAGTGCAGAACTTAGCAACTAGTCTAACAAGGGCTATGCAGGGCTGGCTGAAGGTTCTAGCAACTCAGGCAGTTGCCTGTGGTGCCATCAAAGCTGAAGGCATCATCATGCTGCTATGTTGTGTGTTTGGAATCTTCCAAACAAAAAAGAACAAAATATGAAATAATAAATAAAATTAAATAAAAAAAAGAAAAAATATTAAATTTCTTGAGTAAAATTTTTGAGAATCTGTTCATTAATTCTTTCTGTTATGGTGTAGTGATTAAACAAAAGAAAAAATTTCAGTTTTTCTCCTTGTGAAAATTTAAAAAAATTATACTTGTAAGGGCACTAAAGTTCAGTTTACTCAGATGGCCAGACCTAATGCCATGTTAAACTCACAGAGTATCATATGTTATGTAAATGAACAAAAAAAAAAGAAAGCAAGCTTAAAGTTTACATGTTTTTCTGTTGAACCATATAAGGTGGTGGGGTATAATTCTTTAAAAAAATCCCCCACCTTCTGTTAAGCACCTAAAAATACCAATTCACCAAAAATATTTATTAAATTGTTCTCATTTCAATTTGTAAATTAATAGTAATAAAACAGTGTTCATTCCCAGATTAAAGCTAGTTTTTCAAATGCTGATTTTCAAGGTATGCAGGTTCTTAGTTTTCTTCTTTTTTTGTATAGTATTAACATTTTCTTGGCAATAATAGTGATTTTCAGATACAAGTCTAAAAGTTTGGATAATTTTGCACATTTTTTTTAACAAATAAATTGATGATTTATATATTTCAGAGTCTTGTGCATTTAATTAAAAAAAATTATAGTCACACCTAAAATTTTTCAAGTTTTCATAAAATTAAGTAGCTGGTGGGTAACAGGTGTAAAAATAAATATTTTTATGATGACTTTCAGAAAAACAAATATTTCTAAAATAATTTCATTCATTTGTGAATAAGTTCTAAAGGTTTCATTAAAATCTGACAATTATTTGATTTTTGCAAGATTTTTCAAATCAATGTGTTTTTCAACTGAAAAACAACTAATGCTAAATATTACATAACTGCTGATCTAAAAAAAAAACAAGATTTTCAACCTAAATTTAAATCATGATGGAAAGGAATAAGAAATTTTTAAAAAATAATTAAAAAAATACCTTAGTCTTTTCTCTTATTAATAAAATAAACTTTTTCGCGATAAAACTTTGTTTTTAAGTTTTGGGCCTTTTTTCTTCATGCTATGCGGTTTTTTTGGGTGAAAAGTTGAACATGCCTAATTTTAACCCATAAGATGGTGGGAGAGAAGAGGTGGATTCTTTCTTGAGGGTATTTGTGCATCTGTGAATATAATGAACCTAACTGGAATTCAAACTCAGCCTTCCAACTTCTCATTTCAAGCTCTTATCAATTACACCACTTGCACATCCAAGCTGGTATTCCCAAGTGATCACACATCTAGGTACTAATCAGACATTTCTTAATTTTGCTGATCAGACAAGAACTGATGTTCCAACATGATCTGGTTGTAAGCTGCAGGTTTTTGGAATATTAGGGTAACACAGGCTTTCTCCCCCCAATTATTTTTTTGATATATAAATGGCATGACTATCAAGCTCAGGGCTGTAGCAGAGATAAATATGAAGCCAAAAAAGTTTAGAAATTATCTTTAAGTTATCAAAGGCTGCCAACATGGTTAGCAGCAAGAACATTTAAAATTTTCAGTCCCTCTAGATCAGCAGAAATCATATTTGGAATAATAGAGAAAAATCTGTGTTAGAAACGAAAGAACTTTTCATTTTTTTTTAATGTCTACAGGGAAAATATAGATTCAATAATGAAGGAAAAAAATTATTTTATTCTTCCTTGCTTTGATAGATTTTTTCTTTTTGTATTTCTTTATTGTACTTTGCTAAAATAAAACCCTGTAAAAAATACTACAATTGGTAAAAACTTTGGGAAAGGCAAGCCTCTCACCCTCCCAACTGCTACATCCCTGATGTTATATGAGATATTATTCTCAGTGTATTAGGTTGGTGCAAATGTTTCCAGCATGTTTTGTGATAAAATTTTTTTATTTATATAAATTCATAACATCATTGTTCAGACATCAAAGGATTTTCACAGATTCTCTATGACCATATTTCAGTTAAATAGTGTCTTTATATTCCTGTGAATCTATTTGGTTTCTTATTAACCATTTTTAAGCCAGAGAATTAACAACAATTGTTTATCACTGTAAACATTTCAGAGGTTCTGGGATTTTGATAAAATAACATTCTCAAAAAAATCATAACAGCCTGAGTTCCTGAAATGAGAACTTGGCTTTCACACTCCAAGCAGATTGTCCCCTTGCAACAATAGCCTAGAGTGGGGCTTGGTAACCCCCGATCACTGGGCCACATCTGGCCCATGAAGGATTTTTATCCAGTCTGCAAACTTAACAGTAGTAAGGAATTTGCATTTTTGTTACTTGTTACCCTGTTATTTCTGCAGTAAAATAAGGAACCTTGTTTAAATAATATAACATTAACTTTGTTGTTTTTTTTCTTTAAACTCCATGCCAAGGTAGCCCTCTGCATGGAGTGGTCTGAGGGTGAGACAATTTATTATAGTATATTTGATATCTTGCCCCCCCCCCCTCTGAAACACTGCATAGCTGTCTGGCCTGCTCTCTCCAAAAGTTTGCTGATCCCAGACCTAGAAGATTAAAGTGTTGGTTGTGAGTTCAATCCCTAAAGTTGTAGAGATTCAGACTAGCAATAACTAAGAAGTATTAAAATAGAACAGGACATGTCTAGACATGGAAAGTAGAACAAAAACAATCTACCCTCAGAGATTAAATAAACAGTTTATTTTAAAATTCCCTGAGGGTTACATAGATTGACAGACACCTGAAGAAGTCTTGAAGACACAATGGTTGAAACATTGTGATAATAATAACGAAGATTAGTTAGTATTATTTACATTAATTATAGTCAGACTAATGTCCTTGTATTGTGATTACAATGTTTCAATTATTTCATGACATAATAATTGTGAATTCAATCCCTAGGCAGGTAGTATGAATATATTTGGTGGAAACAAGTCTAGCAATAGATGATTGACCAAAATGAGATATCCCTAGACATGGACAGAAATTTCCTGAAGGTTAACCTGGATAGACATCTGAAGATGGTCAGAGAATACAACAGCCTGAATGTTGTTATGATAACATCAAAGATGGGGATATTGTAAATAATGTAAATAAAACCAAAATACAATGTAATAGGTCCTGACCTGACATCTCGACTTCAGTCACTTTCTCACAGACGTGATGTGGCTTCCCTCTGTCTTTTCTACAAATATTTTCATGGCAAATGCACTGACAAACTACTATCACTGGTAGCCCAACTGCATGAATTTAAGCATGCTACTAGGTTGGCATCTCGGTCCCACTCTTTTACTGTTGAAACAGTTAAATGTAATCATCTCTTCTACTCCAACAGCTTCTTCTCTTGCACCTCCCAACAGTGAAACTTCCTTCCTATTACTTGCTTCCCTGATAGTATAATATTCAAATGTAATGTCAATCGAAATCTTCTGATGACTTGATCTTGATCCCCATACTTCTCTTTATCCTTTTCTCAAACCCCCTCTTTACTCTTGCTCACACTCTCTGTAAATCTTTGCATGCTAGTAGCACTCTTGCCTTGAGGAAATTACATTTTTTGAAAGCAGTTTTTTCAATTGATTTTTGTTCTGTTTTTTTTTGCCACTCCTAGTTGTCCAGCTGCATTCTGACCACTTGAGGTGAAGTACTTTTATGGAAATAACATTTGACATTTTATAAAGGAGAAATAAAATTGTCAGAAAGAATCTATTTATATGAGAATCTTGGTTGTAGAAATTTTTTTATGCTAAATTTTACCACAACTTAGTCAGGAAATGACAAGAAGGATTTTTTTTTATTAATTTCTAAAGTTACCCAGTGCTATTTAAATAGATCCTCTTGAAAAAAAGTAAGGAAAAATGTCCAGGGAATAGCTTTTATGGATTAGAATTAATTAGAACTTCTTCAAGGCATGACATTAATCAGAATCAAAAAGCATTTGATTTCTTTTTTATCATTTAAAAGTGGGGTCTTCTTCATAATATCAATACTGTGTAAAATAAATACCTAACTTTTTAAAAAGTTATCTGGACTTGAACACAAGCCACACCTGTATGGCATGTCAAGAACTATACCCAATAAATCAGATACTAACAAATTGTAGCAACTTCTGCCAAATCCGTTTAAAATACTACTGAATTACTAACATGAAAGAACTTTTTCATGACATTAATCCATATAATATCCTACAATTTCTTGAAAAAAATCAAACTGTATTCCAAAATATAACTTCAACATAAAACACACATATCACTGTTTGTAGTAATTATGTCCACACAAACATGAATATGAACAAAAGCTGAGTAGCATCTGCCAGGTTATTCAATTATGAAAGCAAAATAATATATATTTTTATTACTTCAAAGCTCCCAAGAAAATTAAATTTCAACATTAAATGACTCATAATGAGTTGATATGTTGTTAAACAGACAAACAATTGTTTAAATGTAAAATAAAAATTGTTTCAACTGACAAACAATTGCTTGTTTAAAATAAGTATGTATTTGACTGTTCTTTATTTAAAAATATCTGTCCTTGAATGGCAAAAATATTTTTGTAAAAAAGTATTTCACGAGACAAACAACTGCTATTTCTTGTTTAAGATATTTCCTTAACAAACATAAAAATATTTGTATCCATTTGTTCTTTATTTAAAAGAAATGTTTTTGTAAAAAAAAAAAAAAGTCTAGATAACACTTTCCAAATTAAGTCAGGGATCGATGTTACATTGTATTTATATTATATACAAGACCCCCTCTTCTAAAATGACAAAAATCAATATTTTTTGATTCTGATAAATATCACACCTTCAGAAAGGTCGAATAAAAACTAGTCTACAAAAAATATTTCCCCAAAATTTTTACCTATTTTTTTTATAAATGGACCAGTCTAATAAAGTAGTGCCAATTATCCTTTAAGCACTATGAATATTTTATTGCAATAATTTTATTATATTTATAATGACAACTTGAACTATTAAAAATTCCATAGGTGTTGACATTGCTAATCATCCATTATCTTTTGTTTTTCCTATTCCTCCTACAGCTATATCATGCTGAGACTCTGGTTCTCATACAATCACAAAAGTTAAGCAATGTCAAACCTGGTTAATACTTAGATGGGTGACCACTTGGGAATACCAGGTGCTGTAAGCTTGGAATGTGGGTGATGTAATGTATTGGAATTGGAAATCCTAGAGCCATTTTCCAATTTTAGTTGGGTTCATTATATTCACTTATGCATAAATACCTTTGGAAAAGGTATATATCAACCTGTTCCCCCCAGCTATGGGTTAATTAGCAGTACTTGTACCAGTAAATCATTATTATCTCCTAAAAATTGTTACAGTCTAAAAATATTTTCTGGCTTTAAATAACCTTCAAAAGGTTGATAAGCTGTCAAAAAAAACAAATCTATCAATCAAAAAATCTTCTTCATTTACCCTATTTTTAATTTTCTCATACACTTCCTGTTCCTTTCCAATCTTTGTTGTCTATTTGTAAATTGAAATAAAATGTGCAAACTGTCAATAGAGAGATAAAAAAAATGATAAACTTTCAGTCTATGATCGTAAAATACGGACATAATTATTTTACTTGCGAGCAATTTGAATGCCAATGTAGATTTTTAAGTTACTGTCTGGATTTCTAGTAGTTATCATTATTTACATTGTTTTCAAGCAGACTATTGTCCTCATCTTTGTTGTCGTTATCACAACATTTTGGCCATTGTGCCATCTAGCCTACTTCAGGTGGTTGGCAATCTGGGTATTCAGAATTACTGTATATGTTACCCAGAGCAACATACACCTGATAAAGCCTAGGGAGCACAAGAGCTGAAATATTGCAATAAAAACAATAAAGATGAGGACAAGAGTCCACATCTAAATAGAGTAAATAAAGACAACTCTTCATCCCAGAAATTCAGACAGAAGGCAATCAAGTAATAAAAATAACAAAGATAAGGACAATAGTCCACATATAGAGTAAATAATGATAACTCCTCATCCCAGAAATTCAAAGAGACAGAAATTAAAAATATTTTATTAAAATTTGGACTCATCTTTTCAGCTTTGTTGCTCAAACCATAAAATATTTTAACGATTGTGGCTTCCACCCTTCTGCAGGTGTTTGTCTACCCTGGTAAATGTCAGTGAATTTTGAATGGAACCCTTAATTTAATCTACAAGAATGGCTGTACTCATTCAGCTGTACAGGTCTAGGGATCAGTTCAAACTTCCCTGAATATTACCCACATTGATAAACACTCACACTGATAGACACCTGGAAAAATGCCAGTTGGCCTGATGTCCAAAATGTTTGAGATGTTAACAACAAAGTCTAAATGTAAATAATGATAACTCCTCATCCCAGAAATTCAGAGAGAAATTAAAAATATCTTTTTTGTTTTAATTTCAGAACAAGAATATTTAGTATTCCTAAAAAAGTTTCCTTGGACTGTAAGTGCTTTTTTTTCCGTTTATTTTTCTTCTTTTCATTTTTAGTTAAAATGAATCTGAACCACTCTCATATGCCACAATTTTTTACCCATAATTCCTTGCCACAATTTACTTTGTGTATTTGTAGAACCAAGATCAAATACCACACTTTCTAGTCTAATGATCTAATGTTATATGATGTCTAATGCATGAATTTTAAGGGGATGCAGTTGATCACTGAAGATATAATGTACATATCTTTTCTGTTTGGAAGGGTTTTAGGGCAGTGTTAAAAATATTCCTATTAAAAATGTATTATTGATCATTAAATACCATGTATACGCAGGCTTTTATCACTGTTGCAATTCAACAGTATGTATATATAAAATAAAATAATGACAATAATAGCAATTAATATATGTAAAATTATATAATTTAATGTATATCAAATTTAACAGAATTTCTGCTCATAAAGTGTTCAATATTAAAGTAGAATGATAATTTCTTTTTGTTTTAATTGGTATCACCCCATTCAAGGCAGGAAAGCCACTAAGACACAAGGGGTTACAGGGTGTGGAAGAATTAGAAACAGGAACATTAATAATGAGCCGGAAGAGAAAGGAGTAATCAGGAGGAAAATAGATAGCGATTGACATTGCATTTAAATTTTTGCAGATTAAAGTTGGCTGGAAAGCATAAAGCCAGAAGAGAGTTCCACAAATAAGAAGTGCAAAAAAAGAAACTGTTAGTATGGAATTTATGGTTACATCTAGCCAGGTCAAGTGTAAATTGATGAGTTCTTGATGCCACTCTAGTATTGCACTTAGATTCAAAAAGTTTAGGTACATTGTAGCAGAAAAACACAATTTATACATAGTTAAGGATAACAAATTAAAGTCAAATTTATGCAATTATTAGAAAACATCTCTCTCTAACTACCAACTAATTTTTATCTTGCCAAGTTGCACACACACACACTGTACTCTACTCAAGACAAATTTTAAAACAAACACAAATATGTCAGAGTGCTGGGTATTATCAACACGAATCTCGCTTGTCATAGATGTCTACAACTATGTCTGTGCATTTCCTTTATATAGACTATAAGAGGATCCAGACAGCAGAGCAGAGAGAGACTTCACACACATACACTAACCATAGACACTACCTGAAAGCATGGCTGAATGCTCGTCTGACTTTTAGGCTGTGAAAATGACTTCCTTTGAACACAGAAAAAGAATGGATTCCATTACCAATGCAACAAACCCAAACTGATAGCCAACAAGTAGTCAACCGATTTAAGCATACTCTTTTTTCATGCTCTCATTTTACACCTCGTACACCATACCATATGACATACCAGAGACATTTTCATATCTTGTAAATTAAAACAAATCATTGGCCATTCCTAGTAACCAGTGTTTTCCATCTTCAATCACTAGAGCTCATCCAAACAATTACTATGAAAGTATTTATAGAAAAAGCACAGAAAGGCAACCATACAGTGGGAAGTGACTTATTATTATTAATAAATGAAATATAATAACATTCAATACTTATCAAAAGCCAACTCAGAGTTTCATAATTTTTCAATCACTCATTGGGACAGTTTCATAAACAGACAAAAACGTGAGACTTAATAATGACTGTAGTGACAGTCAAAAGAATTTGAATTTAAAAAAAATGAATTTTGGTGAACTTACTAATTGTATAAAACAACTTTGTCAAAAATTGGACAAACAACAAAACTTGTTTAAAAGAATTCTTGCTATCTAAATGCACCTGATATATATATATATATATATATATACATTAAATAATATAGACAAGTGTTGTTTATTTATTTTCGGTAAATTCTTTTCATAACATCTGATAAGTTGCAATAAAAACAATATATATATATATATACATATATATATATATATGTGTGTGTGTGTATATGTATATATAAGGTCTGACCAATAAGTATCAAGACTGTTGCTATGGTAACAGATAAGTACACAAAGTGAAGCTGCTTCACATAGATTGATCTTGAACTCTGCTGCGCATACACACTAAGTTATAACATTCTTATTCACTTCCATTGTTTATAGCAGTGCTTAGAAGGAAGGTGTGTAGAGTGTGGTTGTTTCATCACACCACAGGGGTTCCATCAGTGACTATGGCTTGTGCAGTAGTTTTTGGTGAAGGGCAACATTCTCCAGATCTGACAACTAGTATATTTCCTAGACATTGTCCCTTACAACTTTTTCCTCTTCAATAATCAAAACCAACTTGAAAGGAGGAAGATGTGATAGTTGTACACTATCCACTAAAAAGGAGTTTCAGGAATGCTTTCATCAATATAAACAACAATGGATAAAGTGTATAGCTTCAGAAAGGGACTACTTTGAAGGAGATTAAATCCTGAATTGATATGCGTTGTAGTTTCCTTTTATAGCACCAGTCCCAATAGTTTTTGATCAGACCTCGTATATATATATATATATATATATATATATATATATATATATATATATATATATTTATTCATTTCTAAGGAGTTAATTACTTTTATTTTTAATCTGACATTATTTCTTATTACTTAAATGTTATCCTCTTAATGGATACATGTGTTTGAGTAGACTTTCTGTTTTGTTTTTAAGCTCTATGATTTATATCTTCTGGCCTGTGAATTCAAGAAACTTAATAAAGAAAATGTGCTCTCCAGAAAGGTTCAAATTAGAATCCTCCTGCTTTGCTGTGAAGCTCTCTGTGGCTGAATAATCTAAAGCACATTGGATCAGAGAGTGGTTTCTCTTTATATAGGGGGGTGCAGTCTCTTCTATGTTCAATTTCCTTATATCTGATACTAAATTTGTTAAAAGTGAGTTACATTTAAATACAACCTCCTAAGACAAAGAGAAATCAGTTTCATTTGTACTAATCAAATTAAATAAAAGAACTAAATAAAATAAAAGAACTAAATGTTTAATTCTTTCTTTTTGTTTTTCAGATCCAACTTCAGATTTGGAATTGTAAGTATTCCTCCCCATTTTTTGTGATGTCAACAAACACTTGCCACTTCTGTAATATAAACAAATATTTGTTGTCACTTTCATAATGCTCCTTGTAGTAGAGACTTTGTAATCACAGATACCACTATGGTAACGCCGTTGAACAATACTGGTGTCAGACGCCTTCGAATACCACTCACACTAATAGTACTTGCTCGATAATACTCACTCGAACAGTAAACAACGTATAGTGATATGAATAGAGGAATAGTATAGTGAATAGAGTAGAGAATAGCGGTCCATATAGTAATAGAGGATAGAGTAGAAATAGCGATCTTTAGAAGTCATGATACTTTCTACTTATGCGTTTCTCCCATGGTCATGTGATCTACTTAATTCAATAATGGGATTGCCTGTGTTTGCTTACTGGTGATCTATGTTCAAACTCAAGTGTCGGCAGTGACACTTTATTCCTATATAACACCATTGCATCTATCATTTATATAACTTAATTCTTTACCATTTCTCATTTGACATTTACCACTTTTAGATGTCAAAACAGACTTCTTGTTTTACTTTATCTCCCAAACAAAAATAATTCCATCATTTTAAGAATCTATCGGACAAATCAGTTATTCGTTATAGTATAACATTATCATCATACAGAGTAATGAAAACATGATACCCTGTCTCTCATATGTAACATAACATTTTAATCAACTCCAGACTTTATAAATCACTGTCGACCAATGGGTGCACAGCCCTAGGACTTTCTCCAAATGTAGATCCTACACTCTCGTGTGGATATGAGAGATTCTCATTTCTCTGGGATGGATGTTTATACATCTACCTATCATATGTTTCTTTCAGTGCATGCACATTGTAGGCACAGCTGGGTTGACCCCATTGTCAGGAGGCAACCACTGATAGCAGGTGAAATGCAGATCTGAACCTGGTGGCTAGGAGTTCATCTTTCAGGTCAGTCTGTTGATGCACCTTATTTCTCTGAAGGACACTTAGTTCTATTTTAGCATTATTTGAGGTGTCACATCCTACAACGAAACTGAAAGCAACAAAATTTTCTGTGCTAAAACGAACGAGGAATAATTGTTTTCCAGTAAAGAAAAGTATAATTTCAAGATATAATTATAAAGGTTTGTGTTACCTGCTGGTAAAATCTCTCTGGCTTTCTTAAACTCCCCTGTAGAGATAAGGATATATATTCTCACTAGATTTATTCAACCTCTACAGCAAAGCTATCCTAAGGAAGCTGGAGACCCTACCAGGATTTATCAGTAAGTGTAATCTTAATAAAAGATACACAGATGACAGTGTGTTGATGTCAGGCACAGAAAGAAAACTACAGGATATTCTAGACAAAGAAAGCAAGAAGAAAGGACTATCAATTGCAAGAAAATAGAATATATGTTTGTCAGCAAAAGAAAAAGCCCAAGATGTGAACTATATAATGGAGATGTCTAAATCAAACAAGTACACAAGTTTAAATATCTAGAAATTGTTTCAATAGAGGACAGAAAATGTGACATGAAAATCTGAAAGTACATTAGAATAGCAAAAAGCTGTATTCAAAAAGCTAAGCAAAGTATTAAGAATCAGGAAAATCTCATTAGAAACAAAGAAAGGAGTTCTGAACTGCTATTTAATGTCAATCTTCCTATACGGCAGCAAATGCTGGACAATCTCATCACAGAAAAAGAAGAGACTTGAGGCAATAGAAATGGAGTTACAGTTGGATGCTGAGAATACTATGGACCAAAGATGTGATCAATTGTGAAATTTTAGATAAAATGGAAACAAAAAGAGCCTACCAATACTTAGAATCAGAAAAAGAGAGATAAAATTTCTAGAACAAATAATGAAGAAAGAAGGCTAAGAAAATTTGACACCCACAGGACATATACAGGGTGCGATGGGTAAATTGTCGCCAGTGTTTATTTTTGATTTTGTTGATTGCACAGTATAGTCGGGACAGTTGGCTACCATCTGTGAGAAAAAGAGCACCATGACACAATTCTCTCCACCAGAAATTTGGAAGAGGCATGCAGTACTGCTTGGTATTCATGCCAAAAACTCCAATCCAAGCATTTCAGAGTGTTTGGGTGTCAATCTGAGGACAGTGCAGAGGATTCCAAAAGAGTTGAATGAGTCTAATGGTGATTACGAAGGTACAGCAGCTTGGAAAACTCACTCTAATCATTCTGATGAGAAAAGAACTCCTGAATTTGTTGATGAGGACCTCAGACAATTTCTGTAACCACATCATCCCTTACATCTGGCCACCTAACTCTCCAGAATGCACCCCCTTTGATTATTATGTGTGGGGCGCAGTTAGATGATAGACCAACAAAATTCCTTGTAACACCAAAGATGAACTGAAGGCAAGGATTATGGCAGCATTCACCAACTTAAATAAGGAAACCATCCAGAAGAGTTGCAAAAGATTCTGAAGTCATCTTGGAGGCCATGATTGAAGCTAGTGGTGATTTTATTGAATAAAATTACTATTTCGTATTTCAAGATATTTTTCTGTAATTTTGGTAAGCATATCTGTTAAAATGAGATGTCAGGGTTATTTTCATTTTTGCATAATTTAGACAAAAATTTATACATCACACCCTGTTAAAGGAAAAACAAAGAGGTAAGAGGGCTTAGAAAATTTCACACTCACAGGACATATAGAAGACAAGAGGAATAGAGAAAAGCAGTATGGAACATATCTATCATCAACATTATCATCCCCTTGAATTTTGTAATTGTAGGGCAAATCTAAATGCAGAAACCACTCTCTTTTGCACAATGGTCTATCATAGCAGCCATCAGCAATTCTGGTACAGTCATATCTGTCAAGTTTGTGTAAATGATTGGCAGAGCGTTGATAGGAGGGATGGTAAAACGACAAATGTTACTAAGAATTGCAAGGAATAAGAAGTTGTGGAGAGCCATGATAATGACAGGGCACATAGAAGAAAAGAAGTAGAGCATAATCTTACCATGCATAGTTGTTGCTGCTGCAATTTCTATAGCAAGCATATTTTATGGTGTGGAGTTGCCAACTTCATGCTCAACCATTCAGAGTTGTACTTCTCGTCGACTGATTACCAACAAGAGAACCCAGCCTGCTCTACTATTTGACCATAACTGGAAGAAGAAGAACTAGAAGAAGAAGAAGAAGTGGAAGAACTAGGAGAAGAAGAACTAAAAGAAGAAGCAGAAGAAGAACGAAAAGAAGAAGCAGAAGAAGCAGCAGCAGCAGCAGCTTCATATCTGTCCTAAAGTTATTTGTGTAAAAGTGAATGCAATGAACTTGGCTCACCAATTTTCATTCCCAGCCACTGTCACACCAATTAAATCTAATCTTTATTTAAAAGTGGATATTTTTGGTTGATGTATTGTCAGAGTGGCATGGTGGAGTAATGGTTAGTGGCTCAGATGGAGGAAACAGAGAGCTGAGTTCAAATTCCAATCGAGTGAATTACATTCACTTACAGGCTAATAACCTTGGGAAAGGTATGAATTCATTCCTTTCTCCTCCCAGCTATGAGTACATAGTCTGGGTCTTATAGCCTTAGGTGGCAACCAGCCTAGAAGAAGGAAACTCAAACCACCTGTTGCCTTGTAGGTCCTGCCTATTTAGACAAAGGTAGAAGGGTAACTTCAAAAACAAATCCACCTTTGAGAGGAGGAACAATGTAACCTCAATATCCCCAGTGCAAAAGGAATCGGGAAGCCATTGTACTATTTTACTTTGAATGTCACCATGAACCACAGTTGTATGATGGAAGGGAGTGATGACCAATATGTACTAACTGAATAAAATGATGATGATTGTCAGAGCAACTGAATTGTATATAACTGACTACTGACATAAAATATCAATGATCGTCTGCATAGAATTATAAGTAAGAGCAAAAAATAAATTTAAAAGTTCACTTCAAAATAGACAATGTGGAAGAAGACAGAATCTTCCTTTAGGGTGAGTGTGTCTCTGAACTGCAGTCTGTGGGAACAAAACAAACAGTAATACTCAGCTGATATTTGTTTTTCTTGTCTGAATCATGTGATCTTCACTCATGTTATTTGTGTGGTTACATACTCATGTGACGTTAGCAATTATGAAAGTAATGAAAACTGCATTTATAATAGAATATTTAACTTGCAAGTTTAATTCCCAAGATGAATTTTATTCTTCAGTACTGTTGATTTTGTAATAATATTTGATTGAAAATCTATGACCATTAACAATTTTTATTTTATTTTTTTTAGGGACATTTATGAGGAAATTGATGACTGGAACAGCCATGGTAATTTTCTTTCTTTTTCCTTTAACATTTTTCTTTCTTTTCTTTTTATTTAAAGGGCCCTAAAAAAATGAGTGTTTGATAAAGTATGTCACAAAGAACTGTTGGAATTGTTAGGTAATGCTCAACATATTTGGGAAGAATATTAGAATAATCCAGAACCTATACTGGCAGCAAACTGTCAGCATACAGATAAAAAATGGATTTAGTAAATATACAAAACAGAAAGGGGTGTAAGACAAGGATGGGTTGTCTCACCAGACTTATTCAACCTATACAGTGAGGTGATTCTGAGAGAATTAGAAGTTTAACCAGGATTCATTATTGGCAGCTACAACCATAACAACATAAGATATGCAGATGACACAATGTTGATAGCAGACATAGAAAGGAAACTACAAGAATTCCTAGAGGAAGTAATGAAAGAAAGCAAGAAGAAAAGACTAAACCTCAATTGCAAGAAAATAAAATGCATGATTGTTAGCAAAAATGAACAGAATGACATGTAAATTACAAGATGGACATACCAAAAGCAAATATATACTACTGTTTAAATATGTGGGAAGTGTTTTATCAGAAGACAGAAAATGCAACATTGAAATCCAAAGAGACGAAGAAGGGACTTGAGACAAGACAAATGCGATTCTACAGAAGGATGCTGAGAATACTATGGACTGAACATGTGAGCAACAACAAAGTTTTAGTGAAAATTGAAATAAAAAGGAAAATTATACTTAACATCAGAAAGAAATAGTTGAAACTTCTAATGCACATAATGAGGAAAGAGGACTTGGAAAATTTAATACACACAGAATATATTGAAGGCAAGAGGGATAGAGGAAAACAACATATAACCTACCTAGTGAGCTTGAGTAAATAGATGGCAGAACAAAGATAATAAAAAGACTAAATTTATTAAGAGCTACAAAGGACAGGAAAGTATAGAAAGCTATGGTCGCCAACGTCCTGAAGGGACATGGTTTATAAAAGAAAAAGAAAAGGGAGAGAATGAATATCTTTGTAAAGGTTGATGACCAAATAACAAAACATTGTTACAAATTTTAATTTCATTTTTTATGCATTATCTTAATAGTTGTGAATTTATTTTATTTGATGAAGGATTGTCTACCCTTAATTTTTTACAAGCATTTCTTCTTGATTTCAGTTGTTTTAATATCTAATATTTGCAATAGTATTTTATTTCTTGACAATGTCGACCATTGTTTATTTTTTACTAATAATTCTTTCATCTTAATTTCACTTGCATTTTATTATATTAGCAGTGGTAATATATTGAATTTTATTAGTTAAAGCCTTGTGAAACATTAATTTTTGACTGGTGTTTTGTTCATTTTAATTTCATTTGTTTCTTCTTTTTTACTATATTAGTAGGATTAGTAGTGACAATATTATCTTGGATTTATTTATTAGCTGAAGTATTGCAACCATTAATAAGTTTTAATGTGGGTCATTCATAAAAAATAGTCTTGATGTACAACTCAACTTTCTGTCCCATTTTCCTTAGGAAGTCATTTATTTTGTAATATCTAATGTACCAATGTAAGCTTCTCAATCTTTTATGATTGGCAGATGATCAAATCTAAACCATAAACTTACACTATATTTCTCCCCTTGATTTTTCATCACAATATTTCTTATTATTTTTACATACACAATAAAATATTAGTAGTTTAATGTTATCTTTATTTTATTTTTATTTATGATACCTAAACTTTATGAATTTAAGGGCCATACTAGATTGGCAATAATGTCTTATCATTTTACAGTTGAAATGACTCAATATAACTAAGTTCTATGCTAACAGTTTCTTCTCTTGCACGTCTTCCTTGTGGAACTCTCTTCTGGTCTCTTGCTTTCCAGTCTACTTTGATTTTCAAAAATTTAAATGCAATGTCAATCGTTATTTTTATCATCTTAATTCCTGTTTTTTTACTGTCCTCTTTCCCTAATAATATTTTCTTTTTCTCATAGTATCTCACACTCAATAACCCCTTGTGGCTTTATTTCCTTGCTTGGGGTGCAATGATTAAAAACATAAAGATGAAGCATTGTTAATGCTATTATTAATTTTTAACTTGTATTGCTGATTGCCATATACTGATGGTCTGAATAACTGCTGCAAAAATCAACTAAAATTAAAATGAAAGGAATACGAATCAAAAATTCATAATGTCAGTGTTCACTTTTCTATTTTTGAAAAAAGCCTATTGAACATTTATATAATTTCTGTCTGAATTTTTGGAATGAGGTGTACATTATTATTCATATTATTTACATATAGACTAATATTCTCATCTTTTGTTTTAGCCATTTTGCCTAACAGTCTTCTCACTTGTAACAGAACAATAGCCTAGAGGGTCAAAATGTTGTTAGTTCATGAATTTAGTGACATAGTAATTGTAAGTTCAATCTCTGGGCTGGGTAGTACCGACTCAATGGAGACATCTGCTTTACCTTTTATATGCGTTATCTTATCTGACCCTGATGCATGTTAAGATCACAAAACATTTAACCATTTGTAGATAAGTATTGGGAACTATTTTTATTTATTGATATTAATTATTGCTCTAGCTTTCTACTGAGCACTTTTTATTGACAAAATTCTGCTAAAACATGTCATACATTAAATTACATAATTTTACATATAGCCATAGGTGTTATTTGATATGTGGTGAATTCTCCTGTCATCTTCAATGTATGAGGATCCAGCAGTTCAATTCTTAGAACTGAACAGCCAGACTATGTGCACATATGATTTAATTATAGTGGTGAAGGTTTTGTGCAGAACCAACCACACTTTTCAGAATAACTGAATATAAAGAAATTGTGCACATAGTATGCCACTAGGTTTCCAAACAACCCTCCTCAGGTTTTGAATTAAGAGCTATCTTTCTCTTAGACTAGTTGCCAACCACGGCTAAAGAGCAGTGTCTGTCCTACTATTTAATCCATAGCTCTGGGGGACAAAGAGATAGATTCACAGCTTTCCCAAGGGTATTTGTGCATACATGAATACAACTAACTCTCTCCTTAGTAATGTTTTCTTTTTCGCATATTCTTTCACACTCAATAACATTGCATTTTAGTGGCTTTATTGCCTTGGAATGATCAAAAAAAATAATTGCCTGGGTGGAATGATCAAAAAAAATAAAACTCATTTGGAATTTAAACTTGAATCTTCAACTTCTCATTTTGAGTCAGCATTTATTATACCCCATACACATCTAACATATATATATATATATATATATATATATATATATATATTTGAGGAATCTAAATGAAATAATAATAAAAATGAAGGAATATTAATATACAACCCAGTGTGTCTGAAGATTTTAATTTTTTAATATTCTTTATTGTTCAAAATATATACACGTGTGTGTGTGTGTGTGCGTGTGTGTGTGTGGAGCACTTGATGGTTCTCAACCTCACCAAAAAGCTCTAAAAGATTTTGAGGCTTAGTCAGTTGGGAAACGGGTCAGGCTGATAACTTTTCAGCACTCCCTTATATACTTATATATCAAAAATTAGGTTGAGTTGATTAACATTGAATATTTGTTTTCTTCCAGACTTGAAGAAAAAAGAAGATGGGTAAGTATTTATAACTTTTACCCACAACAATATATTTCCCACACATCTCTGATTAATAACCTTAAAGTAACAACAAATAGAAAATTTTAACCTCAAACCTGGGTATATGCATCCATCTTGCATGGAAAAACAAAAAGGTACAAGCATTCCCTCAGGTTTCTTAACCTGGGATTCATGGACCCCTGGGTGGGGGCCATAGATGGGTTTCAGGGGATCCATGAAGATCAGATAAAAATTAACATTTATTTTTGCTATACAGCCCTTATCCTAATCAACAGTATCCTATTGAAAGAAATAAAAGAAAACACCCCCAGCCACTACTTACAGTTCTGACTATGAGATGTCTGTTGACTTACTGTTGGGTCCATGTTTACTATTTAAAAGTGTGTCATCATTCTCTGCATGACAGCCATCTTTTGCCACTCCATAAGAGCAAGGGATAGTTCTCATTTTCCACAGTTTATCACAGCTTGATTATCTTCTCATATACTGGTGAGGATTAATTGACCACAATTTCCTCCAAGTGTGGCTGGTTGAAAAGTGACATGTGTTTGGTATGCATGAGGGTGCAGTAGGAAGAAATGCATGTACAAGTGTTGGGAAGAAACAATCAGAATGTGAGTATCTGCTGGTCTGTCTGTCTATGAAGGGGTTGTTCTTATAGGGGTTTGTAACTCAAGAGGTCTGTGACTAAAGGGGTCAGTGACTAAAGGGAACTGTGACTAAAGGGGTCAGTGACTAAAGGGGTCAGTGACTAAAGGGGTCAGTGACTAAAGGGAACTGTCACTCAAAAAAAAAAGCTTAAGAACCAATGCCCTAATATCTACAACTTGACAATTGCCCAGGTATTTTTTTAAAAATCCCACAGTAAATGCTGAGCCATTAAAATACTCATCTTCATTGTTTCCATATTAAATTCTGCTTTGCAAAAATGGTCAACTGAATTTTTTGTTATAGTATTTTGTTTTGTCTTTTTTACTAATTAATCTGTAAAATAATTATGACTTCATACAAAATAACTGAAATGACTGTACAGTATCTTATACAGTACTGTATCTTGAGAAAGATACATATTTAATGTCTTAATAATTCTAATACCACTGACCTTGATGATACTCCCATGATGCTGCAGTCATACTAATTTCTAACCAGTCACTTTCTTGTGACATTTCTACAAATACATTCATAGTAATTGTTCTAATGAACTTTCCTCTATGATACATTGAGATGATGAATTTAAGTGCAGGACTAGATTGGTAGAAAAGTCTTATTGTTTTACAGTTGAAATGGTGAGATATAACCATAAATTCAATGCTAATAGTTTTTTCTCTCCCACTTCTCATTTGTAGAACTCTCTTCAGGCTTCTTGCTTCCTTGTCAACTTTGATCTTCAAAAATTTAAATGCAATATCTATTGTTATCGTCTGTCTTCTTGTTCTTTTATTGTCTTCTCTCCTTAATAATATATTTTTCTTATATTTTTTAACATTTAGTAACTCCTTGCATCTTAGTGGCCTTATTGCCTTGCTCAGGGTTAAATAATTAAAAATAAAAGAAGCTCATGTTACTTTTGACGATTGGCAGCTACTAATATTCTTGGCCATTTCCACCTTTAAATCTATACCATAACAAAAAGCAATAAACCAAATAAAACTAAACCAGCTGTAATGAAAACTTGGAGTCTAGTTCGGCTTAATGTGCCTTTATTGACGTAACTGAAGAGTTTTGCCATTTTTGCTAAGATGGTATGACTTATTTATACAAATCATAAGACAGGGGAGGTAATTGGGTTGTCTTACCACATTCTCCCCAGCTTTGTTTTCTCCTAGTCTGATACAAAATCATCCAGGTGACTTGGTCTCTTGACAATTCAGCTGCTCATTCCTCTGGTTTAATAACTCACCAGCAGGAGTCAAATCTCTGAAGGAAACATTCAATTTTCTCCCGTCAGAGTACTGGATACATACATAAAGTGGGTTCACCTCAAGCAGTTCCACCTTACTCAAAGGAGAATCATACTTGCTTTGTCGAATATGGTTTCTAAGTAAAACAGTACTTGACTGTGAAAACCATGAAGGGAGGGAGATCCCTGCTGAACTTCGTCTTGGAAATTTTAAAAACATTTTGTGAGCTATTGCATTAGTTCTTGTACACAATAGTGTTCTTATAGCATACAGAGTCTTGGTTATTACGTTTTCCCAATGTCTAATTGGAAGGTTAGGGTTTTCAAGTGCTAACAGGAGGGAGTACCTATTTATTATGTGGAAGTAGCCTATGACCATCCTTTTTTTTATTATTATCAGGGGAAATTACTAATACTTGTGCCCTCCATAGTGATCCATTTTATTTGATTATTCCTTCTCTTAACATTCTTGTTATTTCTGCTTGAATAAACATTTTGTCTTCAAGAGAATATTTTCAAAATTTGGTGGCCATTAGTTTACAGTTTTTGGTTAAGTTTTCAAAAAGAGAGGGGTATTGTACATTTATAACAGCCAAGTCACAGATATTCAACCCTGGTTTAGGGTCCCCAAAAGGGAGATTGATATTAGGATGCTGTTTGAGGAAATCATAGCCCAGTATGACATCACAGCACAGATTTGGCATCACGAAAAATTCGGTGTTAGTGTAGTTTGTTTGATTCAAAGGCTGGCCAAAATATATACTCTAACCTGTGAAGATAGTGAAACATTCACCATAAACACCTGACTATTACAATGTACAATTTTAAATCAGTTTCTTTTTGCTATATCAGCACTAATAAAACTCTCTGAGCTTCATGTGTCGACTAGAGTATTCATTTCAACCCCCTTTTATTTTTACCGTTATTATAGCCCTTGAAAGACATTGAGGGTTTGCAGTTGATACAATACTAGTTACAATAGGAACTGGGCAACATGACCTGGGGTGCAGTTTGAGACCACAAAAATAACATTTTCGCTTGGCTGCAGCACTAGCAGTGTATGCAGTGTCTTCTGGAGAGAGAAGATTTTAAATTGGCAGAGGAGGGGGACAGAAATGAGGAAGTCTGTTGTAAAGGACTGTTTTTTCTTCCCCTGTTTGGGTCGTTTGAACTGGTGGACTAGTAGGGGTGTGAGTACTTAGTGCTGCCTCTGCAACACTTGTTTGTAGATATGAACAAGATTGCTTTTCTGTCATCTCCAAGGTAAGTGCCTGCTCATGAACATTAGCTAAATCTTGTTTATTTTCCAGCAATCTTTGATGGATATAGTTTGATTCTAAACCATTTATAAAGGAGTCTCTGATAAATTCATCCTTTGCCCGATCTGCTGTCATCACTTGAAAGTTGCAGTCTCAACTTAAGATTTTTAAGCACTGAAGATACTGTTCTAATCCCTCTTCAGGGGGATTAATAGGTACTTGCTAATATAGGTCGGGCAAAGATTATGTTTTGTCTCTTTACAAAAATTCCATCCAAAATGCCCATGGTACTCTGGTAAGTATTACTGTGAGAAATATTGGTATATACAGATATGAAAATATGGTACATTAGTAGTTTAAGTCCGTCCGTATCAGTAATAAGAGTGGATGAACTGTTTTCCAGTTTAATCGTTCCCAATATTGCCAGGCATCAGTAGAAGACAAGTTTGCAGAGTCCAAGTTGAGACATTCTGGTTTAAGGCATTTGCCCATAATTACATTCAATAAATTCAACAGCAAGACATTTATACAAATCATAAGACAAGGGAGGTAATCAGGTTGTCTTACCACCCCAGCTCATCAAAAAACACCAAAATCCTTCACCTTACTTTTTCCAACATTCCTATTAATAGAACATCTTTCTATTATCAATGCACTGATTGGAACTCGTTTTGTGATTTTCTTTGCGATACACCTTGGAATTGTATTTTTAGTCATCCTGTTGAGAATTGTGCCACTGAGGTCTCTTCCTGTGTGAAAGCCAGTGTCACAGATTTTGTACCAGCATGGAAATACAAAGTGAAACCACAATCTTCTCCTTGGTTCTCTCCTGCCTGTTCAGCTTCTATAGCCCACAGGAATTACTTCTTCTAGCTTACTAGAGTGGAAGATTCAAATGTAACAGACATAAATTTGTCATTGATCATAACAAGTACAAGCATGGTCTCAAAGAAGCAAAGTCACTATTCACTGATAGAATGAGGCACCATATAGTGTTATGACTGCATGAATTTAAGCATAACACTAGATTGGCAACTAGGTCCCACCATTTTACTGTTAAACTAGCAAGATGTAACTGTCAATTCTGTTCTGAAAGTTTCTTTTCTTGCACTTCTCACCTATGGAATTCACTTCTAACTTCTTGCTTCCCTGCCACCTACAATCTTCAAAAATTAAAATGCAACATCAATCGGCATCTTATGCTTTCCTGAATCTTACTCTTTATTGTCCTTTTCTTCATTTCTCCTTGCTAAAGTCTATTCATTCACTTTCACACCCTATAGCCACTTGCATCCTAGTGACATTATTGCCTTGTTTGGAGTGAAATGATTAAAAAAAATTAAAGATGGCAGTCTTCTCATTATTCCACATATTCTTTCAATTATTGACTTCCTTTTCATTGGTTTTTAAAGTTCCTCAGGTGAAGAATTTCCGTTGGTTTCTGAAGTTCCTCAGATGAAAGATTTCCTTTGGTTTTTTGAAGTTTTCAAGCTATTTTTACTATATGTAGGCATTATCATTATTTTTGCTATATGTAGGCATTATCATTATTCCTGATTGAGGATGAAACTTTTGAAATAATTCAAACTTGGCAACTTTTACTTTGAAATAATTTTAAAATGCTCTAACTCTTGAAAACTGATATCAGCTGTAATCATAAGTGTTATGTCCAGGAAAGGGATATATTTGAACAAAGTAGCTAAGTGGTTTTGGCTACTCTAACCAAGTAGAATACGGTAGCAGTAATCAACTAGTATGCATCGTAGTCACAGGTAAGAAGTGTAGATCAATGGTGTAGTCCAATGGGCATCATTATAGACTTAGCTCTCAGACTGAGG